TAGCTGGCACTAGTGACTATATGTTTAAGGAAAAAACTAAACCAAAACACTATGCTTCAAAAAGCCAGAAAAAACCCATATCTTTGTAGATGGATGATCTTTTAGCCAATAAACTACTAGGTTGTGCACCAAATTAAAACACAGGCACAATTAAAACATGCATACAAACTTTTTAAAGGGCTCCTGAAATAAGGCAACTGGTTTGATTAAGTTTCACTGCACCACATTTTTAACACTCCAGTCTATTTTTCTTGTTTTTTAAAAATCTTGTCCCGTGTTTACATCAGGTTACAAAGTTGCAATGTTGTTAGTGTCTGATGTTTACATGCTTGACTAGAAATCTGAGAAAGTGAAGCCAGTTCTAAATTGACTCTTGTGGCTGGGAAATCATAGATTTACAACAGAGTGCAATATAGTTACCTTAGTTCTCATTACAACTTAGTTCTCAATAAACAATTTGTAGGGTGAAACTGTAAGCATGCATGAAGGTGGCTAAAAACCAGGTTGTTCACACCCAACTCATGCTGTGTCCTGAATGAAATATTGACCATAAATTGAATCTCCAGGTGTGGGAGAGAGATAAACCAACCAAAGAACAGAGTGAAATGGGCCACAAAAATCAAACATTTCCCTGAATATTTCCCAAAGCTAAAACAGAATTCCTTTCCCCTGAACAGAGTGAAATGGGCCACAAAAATCAATCAAACATTTCCCTGAATATTTACCAAAGCTAAAACAGAAACCCTTTCCCCATGTATCTTGTAAGACCAGAAATGTGGGTGAGCAGAGGCAGAAGGAAGACAAGCACCTTAGCACGAAAGAGTTGGATGTAGAAGGTACCTGTTAAAGTGAATGGTCATTTCCTTCTTTGTATCAGCCTACCACCGATGGCACTTTATTGCAAAGGTAACCCCTTCAAGCAAATATTTTCAGTCTCCATCACTTCTACTGTTTATTCAAAATATCAGTGTTCTCACAAAATTACGAGGCGTGCTCTTGTAAAGAGCTATATGTTATATCTCTACACAAAATGAAACTATTGAATCAGGTATTAAGCTATAGGAAAACAATAGCTATGCACAAATAAACCTTGATGCATAAACATTAGGAAGAACCTCCTGATGATAAGAGCTTTTCAGAGAAGGATCAGACTGCCTAAGAACCTTCTGGTGGACTGTCTTTTATTGGAGACTCTTGAATAGAGGTTGTATGGCCCTCTTTCAGGGATGCTTTGCCTGGGATTTGTTGCATTGACAGAAGTAGGGTTAGATAAGCCTCAGGATCCCAATTGTGTGGAAGTTTCTAATGGTTCTTTTGAAATTCTATATACTATTAGTAGGAATAGAAATTGGAGGGGGGCATTGCGCTGAATTTCTCCAAAAGAGGAAAAAATCTTGCAACAAAAGATTCTTGGGGTTTTTTTGTTGTTCCTTTTTTTTTTTTTTGCTCAATTCACTTTGTTGTTCATGGTTCAACGCCTCCCCCATGTCTTCCAAATATTAAGTTATAAAATGCTATACTTTGTCTCTGATAAGGGAAGTTAGTGCTTTATTGCATGTCCCCCTCCTTGCACAGTTCTTCATCACATTGCAGCCTCCCTTGGCTGCCCACTCTCATCTTTGCATGAGAAATAGTAGGAATAGAAATTGGAGGGGGGCATTTTGCTGAATTTCTCCAAAAGAGGAAAAAAAATCTTGCAACAAAGGATTCTTGGGGGTTTTTTGTTGTTGTTCCTTTTTTTTTTTTTATTTT